TGCATGTGTGTGTCTATGTGTACACGTGTGCACGTGCATGGGCGTGAGTGTGACGCACTCTCCTTTCCAGAGGCGCATGTGCCTGGGTCCCTCCTGTGGCCTTCTGGGCAAAGGCACCTGCTTATCCTGACCGGGGGCAAGAGCCGAGCGACCCCCTTCCTGGGGTTCAGGCCAGCCGACCCTCGTCAACTTCGCCATCCTGGTGGTTGTGGAATGGCATCTTTGGGGGGTGGAGCTTGCCTGGCAGGACTCGGAGGGTTTGTGGGGTGTCGGGGGCTAACCCTGGGCCAGCCGTGTGCAAGGCCAGCGCCCTCCTGGCTGTGCTATTGCTCCAGCCCAGGATATTTTGATTTTTGGGGGGCCGCACCCAGCACTGCGGGGCTCCAGGGCTCCTTGAGCGGGGTCTGCTCAGGTGAGACCCGCTGGGGCTGAACCCGGGGGGCTGCATCGGGGAAAGTGACTCAGCCCAGCGCTGTCCCTGCGTCCACTCCTCGAGGCCTCTGGGCTGTGTGGTATGGGCAGAGCTGGCCACCTTTTCTCCTGCGACACCTTTGGGCAGCGCGGCCTGGGCACTGGTCAGCGTGGGTGCTGGGCGGTCTGGCATGGGCACTGGGCAATGTGGTGGGGTTCTGGGCAGCATGGCCGTGGGGGATGTGGCATGGACGCGGGGTGGGCTGGCGTGGGCAGGGCTGGCCCATCTCTCCTGAGGACCCACAGGCTGACGGAGGTGGCCGTGGTGAGCCTCGGAGCCGGCTGGTGTCATTTCTCTGCTGGAAGGAGGAGTTCAGAGTCCTCATTTATTTCTCCTGTCCGGGGACAGCTTCGAGGACATTCCTGATCTCACAGAAGTGAGCTCGGTTCCGGTAAATCACGTTTCTCTTTAGAGCTGTGGCAGCTTGGGGCTGGGCGCGGGTGCGGGGAGCTGCAATTAGCCCTGCAGACCCGGCCTGGGCCCGGGAGCGGACGGGCTTCGTTAATGTCGCAAGAGGTCAAAGGAGCAGAGGGCACCCCCCGGCCTTTGCCCCACCCCCTGCTGCTGCTGGAGGCAGCTTCGAGGAGCTTCCTCGGCCGGGAGCACTTCACTGGGGCCCCCACTTCCGGCACTGCAGCACGATCCTGGGCCTCAGTGCCTGGCCAGGGGCGCGTCGGGGCGGGCCGTGTCCCTCCAAGCACCGGGACTCAGGTGCGCGTCAGGCAGGCGCTCGGTCCCCGTGGAGGGTCTTTGACAAAGGGGGATGGAAGTGGGTCCGGAGGACGGGAAACACAGGAGTGAGGCCGTGACGGGCTGGAGGGGCATCCCTGGGAGACCCCAGACAGAGGACAGCAGGGGGTAGAAACGGTCAGCAGGCAGGGGGTCGCTGTGGGCCAGCATGGCAGGGCCACAGAGGGGCGAGTCTGTCCCCGCTCCTGTCCCCTCTCCAGCGCACCACAGCGGCTTGGTGTCACAAAGGCTCGCGAAGAGCAGAATCAAGCGGGAGGGCAGACCCACACGGGGCAGGACGCAGCTCGGGGCTGGCCAGAGCGTGGGGCTGACTTCCAGGGTAGACTCTGCTGCCCACCCGCGGGGCTTGGCCGTTGCTCTGTTTCCCTAAGTCCAAGTGAGCCCCCGGCTCAGAGGGTCCTTGGGCCGGCAGGGCAGGCGGCTGGGAGTGGACAGGCGTCCTCATAGCGTTACAGTCTGTTCTAGGAGCTTCTAGGAGTTCTGGAAACGCTTCCTGGGTCCCTGCAGACACACCGAGAGGCGAGAACATCCTCGGAGCACTCAGCTCCCGCCGACCACACTGTTTAGCGATTTAGAACTTGATTTCTGACCGCGGAGGCATCTGGCAGTGTGGGTGGGTGAACGGTGCAGGGTTCTGACTCTCAGTGCTCCTGGCCCGGGTGAAGAGCCTCCCACTCCCTGTGGAGGGGCCTGGTGTGGTTTTATTTGGGGGGGGGGGGCTGACTTGTTTCGACATTATCAAATCTGTGTGGACATTTTTGCACAGGGCGGGGAAGTGGGGGAGTCAGAAAATGTATTTTGGAATCTCACCTCACGCTTCCTGGGCCTTGGGAAGTTTCCGGAACGGAGGAGGCCATAGAAGCCTGCGGGACTGTTCCCCTCCTCAGTAGCTCAGACCGGGCCTGGGGGACAGGGCGGCCCCCTCTGGGCTCCAGACTTCCCACCCAGCCGCTCCCGGTCGGCCCATGTCTGTCTCCCCCCACCCCCAGATGGGCACCTTGGTGTCTCCTGGGGCCTGGTCAGGGAGGGGAGGGGCTGGCCCTTTCCAGAACCACAGCTCAGACCCTGCCTGGTCTGGCCTGGGGGAGAGAGAGGGGGACCCCCATGCAGCTCCAGGACCTTTGGGCATCGTGCCGGGGTGAGCGGTGACCAAGCCTGGGGCTCACTCGTGGGGTCCCTCGAGGCACCCCGCAGACCCCGCAGCCCACGTGTGACCCCCGCTCCCACCTCCACCTCTGTCCCCGGACCCACCACCCCCGGGGTCTCCTGCGGGCACCCCGGCCCGGTCCGGGACCCCCGGCGCTCGGGAGCGGCTCGGGCGGCCCCGGGACACGCCGAGACCCGGACCCGGACCCGGACCCGTCGCCGCCTCTGCAGAAATTCATTTCTCGGAAAAGCGAGCGCTTCAGAGAAGGCGGGCCGGGCGGGCCGCGCCCATTGGCCGGCCCCGACCGCCGCGCCACGCCCATTGGGCCTCGCGGCCGTCGCTCGGCGGCGGGACACGCCCCCTCCTTTAAGAGGCGCGCGCCGGGCAGCGCCGCTCGCTGGGCGCGGCGCGCGGGACCCCGCAGCGGGCAAGGCAGGTAGGGCCCGGAGGGAGCCCCGGGGTGACCCACTCTTCCCTCTCCTGCTCCCAGTCTCCCCCCAGCCCAGCGTCCCAGCCGCGGGGAGACCAAGACGGGCCGTTTCTGAAAAAATACAGTTCACTTTTCCTGAAAGGTGGTTTGCAGGGGGACCTTGGGAGGCTGCAGAGCCTGGGGGCGTGTTGGGGTCCCGGGACCCCTGGGTGCAGGCAGGGGCGGGAGCGGGTCCGTGGCGCGGAGCTGACAGCAATTCCGGACTCTGCTTCGCGACAGCTCAGGTTTCTGGGTGCTGCAGGTCCTGTCTTCAGTGCCCTGGCTCGGGCAAGGAAGTGTGTGCCGGGCGAGACCCTCCCCGCCAGACCCCCCTCACGTGCCGGTGCAGGGGACCCAGGTCGGACTCTTCCTCCTCGACCACCCGGCTTGGAGTGGAGCCCGTGGCTCCCTCACGGGGCTCATCCTGGGGGTGCTGAAACGTTCTTGGGTCTTTGGGGATGGAGGTTTGGGGGCACCAGAGCAGAGACCCCGAGCGAAGGGGGGTCCAGGAGCCGGGCTGGGGGCCCGCGCAGCCTCTCAGCTCCCTCCATGTGGGTTTCCAGGGGAGCAGGTCAGCTTGGGAAGGGAAGTCGGAACCTTGCTCCCGGCCAGGCAGGCCACACCGCGGGGTCCGGGCCGGAGGGACCCTCTTCGGGGTTGAGTCCTGTGGGGCCTTGGGTCCGGCCCCCCACCCCAGGGTCCCACTGCCTTGGCTCCCTTGACACAGGGCCGGGACCCCCCTCCCCCAGAATCCCACAGGAGCCAGGGTTTTGCTTTCCCTTTCAGGAAGTCCCGGGACTGCCGCCAGTTTATGACCCAGGGTTCACAGGGAGGGTGGGGGGCCGCTCTTGAGCTTGAGAACCCCCTCAGCCTGCCTGTCCCCTCGCTCGGAAGATCAGGAGGCTGCGCCCCGATAACCCTTCCTCAGAGCCACCTGTGCCGTCGCCCTTCTGCTCCGTTCGCGATGCAGGTGGACGGGCGTTTTTTTTTTTCCATTCATTCATTCATCTTAGTTCTGTTTGGGGGTCACACCTGCTGGTGCTCCGGGGTCACTCCTGGCTCTACGCCCAGGGATCACGCCCGGCAGGCTCGGGGGACGTCTGGGATGCTGGGGAGGGAACCTGGGTCGGCGCTGTGCCAGGCAAGTGTCCTCCCTCCCGGACCCTCCCCATCTGGCCCCTTTGTATGTTTTATCGAGTGGTTGGTTGGATTGGGGGCCACACCTGGTGGTGTTCAGGGCTCACTCTTGGCAGTGCTCAGGGGACCCCGTAGGTTACTGGGGCTCAAACCTGGGTCAGCTGCATGAAGGCAGATGTCCCCCCGGGCTTATCCCCAGCCCCAGGGAGACTGTTTCAGAGCTTGGGGAAGGGGGAAGCTTCCAGGACCCTGGCAGAGGAGGGGAGCCTGGAAGAGGCCCCCACAACCCCCAGATCTCTTGAGGGAATGAGGGAGAGTGCGGCTCTGCTGTGGCCTTCCTCTTGGGGACGCCGTGTCTTGTCACCACTGATTGTTTTAAAGATTGTTTGTCTGAAGGGGCCGCGCTTTCATCATAATCAAATGCCTGGTTGTTTCTTTGGGGTGGGCGCCTGTCCAGCTGCTGGGTGGACATCCGGCCTGCTCTTGTAAACGGCTGGGGTGGACACGCCCCTGTGTCCCCCTCCCAACTCCGGCTCGCAGGAAGGTTCCCACTGTCCTGCCCGCAGCCCCCGGGCACCTGGGTGGGCTCCTGGTGGGGGACAGTCCGCTGTGCTCACACTTGGTTTTGACTCTGACCGTGGCATCAGGAGCCACCGAGCAAGGGGCTGGGGGCAGTAACGGGCCTGTTGCTTAGAAGGTTCCCCCAGACCTTCGAGCCAGGCCTGTGCCACCCCCAGAGTCAGCCCGGGGACCCCGACTCCGCCTCCCCTGACTCCTGTGCTCATCTGCCGTGTGTGCGCGGGGCAGTCCAGAGCGGGCAGGGGCTCCTGTGTCCTGGGTGATGGCCACCCGCTTGCTCCCGGAGCTCGGGCCAGGACAGCGATGAGGTCAGGGGCCAGTGGGTGGGGTCTCGGACTGCCCCGGTGGCCTCCCCCAAGCCGGAGGCATCCCGCTCCACTCCCGCTTTTCCTGCCGGCAGTTCTCGGCGCGAAGAGCCGGTGGCGCAGGCGGAGTCGGTCCCCGAGGATGTGTGACCGCAGCGGGGGCCGGCGGCTGCGGCAGTGGCTCATCGAGCAGATCGACAGCGGCGCCTACCCTGGGCTGGTGTGGGAGAGCGACGAGAAGCGCGTGTTCCGCATCCCCTGGAAGCACGCGGGCAAGCAGGACTACAACCAGGAGGTGGACGCGTCCATCTTCAAGGTCGGCTGCCTCGCCCGCTGCGCGGCCAGCGCGAGAGCGAGGATGAGAGCGGGTGTGTGAGCGAGAGTGTGTGAGCGTGAGCGTGAGAATGGGTGTGAGAGCATGAGTGTGTGAGAGTGAGAGTGTGAGTGTGTGAGAGCGTGAGTGTGTGTGAGTCTGTGAGTGTGTGTGAGCGAGTGTGTGTGAGTGTGAGCATGTGAGGGTGTTTATGAGTGTGGTTGAGGGTGTGTGTGAGTGTGAGAGTGAGTGTGTGGCTGTGAGAGCTTGAGAATATGGGAGTGTGAGAGCGTGAGTGTGTGAGAGTGTAAGGGTGTGTGTGAGTGCAAGAGTGTGAGAGTGTGAGTGTGAGTGTGTGAGAGCGTGAGCATGTGAAAGGAATAGCGCATGAGTGTGAGAGTAAGAGTGAGTGTGTGAGAGTGTGAGTGTGTGAGTGTGTGAGAGTGTTTGTGAGTGTTGTGAGAGTGTGTGTGAGTGCTAGAGTGTGTGCGAGAGAGTGAGGGTATGCGAGTGTGTGTGAGTATGAGAGTGTGTGAGTGTGAGAGTGTGTGTGAGCAGGTGTGTGTGGGTGTGCGAGTGTGGGTGAGTGTGGGGTGTCCCCCCTTGGGCCCGCAGGTGTGTGCAGGGCAGGAGACTGAGTGTGCAGAGACTGGGCCCCGGCTGGGTCAGTCAGCGGTGGGTCCTGGTGTCCATGTGGGCCCGTGTGAGCTGGCCAGGGCTGGTGAGGGTCTGGTCCCCTGTTCCCGTGTGGCCCCTGGCCAGTCCCCCCCCCCCACCCCAAACCCCGAACCCTTCTCTTGGGCCCACAGGTGTCCCGGGCACGATTCCCTCCAGCCTCGCCCTAGCCGCCTCTGGGCCAGGGTGTCCTGTGCACTCCGGGGGGGGGGGGTGTCTGCGCCTTTGCGATACTCAGGGTCACTCCTGGTGGGCTCAGGGAACCCTGTGGGGTGCCGGGGCTGCGTCCGAGGCGAACGTCCTCACGCTGCCGTCGCTCCTGGCCAGGGTCTGCCTCCTCCAGTCTGTGGCGCGAGTTTGGTCCCCACGAGCAGAGCCCAGTGTGTGGAGGGGTGGGAGGCCCCGGCCGGGCCGTGCTGTGGCCCTCGGGGGAAGGGGCTGGCCCCAGATTTGGGCCTTCTTGTGCAACAGCCCATGGAGCCGTTTCGACAGCCGGGAAGCCGGCAGATTCCCACGTTTCCGTCGTTACGCAGCCGCCAGTGTGGCAATCGGCCGCTACAATCTCAGCAGGGGCGCGGGCCCCCCCAGAGCTGAGGAGGGGAAGCGCTGAGGGTCCCTCCAGCCTTGCGACATGTCTCTGAACCCCCCGCCCCGCCTGCTCTGCTGCGGGGGGCCCCGGCTTCCAGCGGCCGGTCAGCCTGTCCAGAGCCCACAGAGCCTTCAGACTTGGGTTTTAGGAAAAGCCCCCATGTGGGCTCCTGCATGGACAGTGAGAAGCGCCAGCCCCTGAGACCCCCCCCCACCATGGGGACTCTGAGGCCTGTGCGGTGTAGATGGACCCCCGCTATTTCATGCCCCCCAACCAAGTTTGCTGCCAGAGTGTGACTGGGTTTGGTTGGGTGAGGCGTTTTGCCGCCTCTTCCCGGCTGGTCTCAGGAGCTTGAGGTCTGGGTCCGGGTGCCCACGCATGAGGCCCTGAAGCTCCTGGCACAGAGGGCAGTGCTTGTACAAGGCTGGCATGGGACGCTGTGGCAGCGGCCTGGGGACCCCCGGACCCGCAGAGGCAGCTCACAAGGGCTGTGTGGCCTCCTCGTCTGGGTCCCTCTGAGCTGCCCAGGGACTAGCGTGGGTCCAGCTGCTGCCCCCACCCTGGGCCCAACTTCCTTGAAGGTGAGGGCATCCGTCTTGCCTCCAGGGCGCCGGGTGCAGCCTGAACCATTTTTAGTGGTCGCCAGGGGAACGTGTGTTTGCATGTGTGAGTTTACACATGTGTGTGTTCATGCGTGTGTAGGCATGTATATATCACATGTGAGTATGTGCATATGTGTGTATGCATATGTGTGGTGTGTGAGCATGTGTGTGTGTGTGTGTGTGTGTGCGCGTTCCCAGTACCACAAGGCAGAGGCCCAGGATGGTTCTAGAACTCCAGCCCTGCCTGGCTGGGGCCACGGAGTGGGGGTGGGGGGGGTCAACGTGGGGGGAGCTGATGCCTTTGCCCCTCTGAGCCCCTGAGAGCAGGTCGGGCATGACGGCTGGCCCAGCCCTGGACAGGATGGGCAGACCTGTCCTGGCAGACGCTACCCGACACTTCCTCTCGGACCCGCTGCCAGGGCCCGGCTAGTGCAGAGACGGTTCCAGTTTCTTTACTGGGGCAGGGGCCAGCTCTGAGCCCCGAGGGGCTGTCTCCAGAGTCTGGCGGGGCGATGCCGGGAGCCCGCCCTGGACCCACAGAGATATTGGGGTGCAGGGCCTGGGGCCCGCATTTCTGCCTGCCTCCAGGGCCGGGTGCTGGGGGGTGCTGGGGACTCTGGGGAGTGCCGTCAGGACCACAGGCCTAGCAGGGTCCCTCCTAACGGGGGCTGGGCACATCTGCGTGTTCGGGGAGCCCCGGGGTGCCGGCGGCCCTGCAGCACTCCTAGCCCACAGAATCCAGCTCAGAGTTTCTAAGGGGGTCACAGGCTCCCAGAGGAAAAATATTTTGTCGCTTTTTAAACAACCCCCGGGCGGGCTGGGGGTGGGGTGGGGAGGCCAAGAATAAGGGCCGAATGCAAAACCAGAGTCTATAAAAGTCCGCCGGGCCCGGCGTTCCCTTCCCTTGCCACATTGTAGCTGGGTCTTGATCTGAAAAAGCAACAAATCGTTCTTTGTTTTGAAGTTCTAGTGAAACCAAGTGCGACTTCCTCTTTGCCAAGCGCGACCTCAGGCCCTTCCTGGCTCTCTGGCCAGGGGATTTGCCAAGAGGCAGCCTCAGCCTGTCTGCGTGCATGTGTACGTGTGCGTCTGCATGTGTGTATATGTGCATGGGTGCATGGTGTGTCTGCATGTGTGTATGCCCGCATGTGTGTGTCTGCATGTGCATTTGCATGTGTGTATGTGTACGTGCGTGTGTGTGTGTACGTGAGTGCATGTGTGCATGTCTGTGTGAGCATGTTGGTGTGTCTGTGTGAGTGTGTCTGGCCCCAGCTGTGGAAAATGTGGCCTCAGACCTGGGGGCTTAGTCGGGCGCATGCATGGTGGGCAGCTGCGAGCCTGTGGGGCCAGAGTGGCCAGAACCCCCCAGGGGGCCACTCAGGGGCCACGTCCCTCCCTCAGGCCTGGGCAGTCTTCAAAGGGAAGTTCAAGGAGGGGGACAAGGCCGAGCCGGCCACTTGGAAGACGCGACTGCGCTGTGCCCTCAACAAGAGTCCGGACTTCGAGGAAGTGACCGACCGCTCGCAGCTGGACATCTCGGAGCCGTACAAGGTGTACCGCATCGTGCCTGAGGATGAGCAGAAATGTAACTATCCCGGGGCGAGGGGCAGGGCGGGCCCTCCTGGACGCAGAACAGAAAGCCCCTGTGGCCCGGCCCACTGTGGGGAGGGGCGGCCTGGCTGCTCAAGTCCCATCTCCCAGGGGACGCAGGCTGGGGCCGGGGTCGCACGGGGCTCCTGGTCTTCGCTGGGGTTCCAGGGTCTCTGCCCCCTGTGAGCCCAGGACAGTCCCCAGGGTTGAGGCCAGTGAGCAGCCGGGTGCCCTCCCCCCAGCCCCCAGACTCTGTCCCCGGTGGGCGGCTCCCAGCCTGGCTGCTGCGGCCCCCGGGCAGCGGCTCTGACCCGCCAGGCTCTGGAGAGTGTCAGTGTGGGCCTCACCGCAGGTCACCATCATGACAGGGACCCTCTGCAAGGCAGTGGCAAGGGACCGGGCGGCCCCGACGGGCCAGCCTACCCCAGGGCCCTGCTCGCCCATTTGTGACGGGCCTGTCTGCACACTCGAGCCCTCGGGCCGCACCCGGCCCCAGTGCTGGCCGGAGGGGCTGCCCCGGTCACTGTCCTCAGGCGCAGGGCAGCTTGGCGGGGCAGGACTCGGGCTCCTGCCTCTCCCCGCCGCCGCGTGTTCCCACGGCCACACAGTGGCTGTGATTTGGCAGAAAGGAAGCGTCTCTGCCTCCCTGGGGACCCCAGCGGGCCAGGACAGGTGATGGCAAGGTTTGCATCCCCTTCGGGGCAGAGGGACGTGGCATTTGCATAATGTCTAAATGCACCCTCTGGGCCCCAGGGGTTTCCGAGCTGCAGGGCGGGGGCACTGCTGGCAGCCCCAGAGCCCAGCACGGGCCAGTGCCACGGGGTGACCAGGCAGGCCGGGGTGCAGGGGCATGGACCAGCCCAACACGGCCTTGCTGAGCAGGGAGGCCTAGGGGGCACCGGGGGCAGGTGGGCCTGAGAGCCCCTGTGTCCACTGTTGCTGCGGGCTCGGCCTGCCCGCCTGCCCCCTGCTTGCTTGCTTTTTCTTTCTTTCTTTCTTTCTTTCTTTCTTTCTTTCTTTCTTTCTCCTTTTCTCTTTCTCCTTTCTCTTTCCTCCCTCCCTCCTTCCCTCCTTCCCTCTCTCCCTCCCTTCCTTCCTTCCTTCCTTCCTTCCTTCCTTCCTTCCTTCCTTCCCTCTCCTCTGGCTCCCTCCTTCTCTCCCTCCTTCCCTCCCCTCCCCCTCCCTCCCTTCCTTCCTCCCTTCCTTCCTTCCTTCCTTCCTTCCTTCCTTCCTTCCTTCTTTCCTTCCCTCCCTCCCTCCCTCCCTCCCTCCCTCCTTCCTCCCTCCCTTCCTTCCTTCCTTCCTTCCTTCCTTCCTTCCTTCCTTCCCTCTCCTCTGGCTCCCTCCTTCTCTCCCTCCTTCCCTCCCCTCCCCCTCCCTCCCTCTCGCTTCCCTCCCTCCCTCTCTCCCTCCCTTCATGCCCAGGACTTCCTCCCGGCTCTGCTGGGACCCCCTGGGCTGCTCTTACCCACTCTAGGGTCTCTTTGGCCCTGAGGACTTTCTGACTGGGAGGGTTTGAGGCGTGCCTGAGTGCGGGTGGTGCACCCACATTTGGTAAGGCCAAGGAGAGAATTCCTGCCGGGGGGCTTACAAAGAAGACCCCTCTGCAAGCGTCTGTGGGCTGAGCCCCGCGTCTCATGTCGTGCAGCCTGGCGCGGCCGCTCCCACCCTCGGCAGACCGGGGGAGGGTGGGGGGGACACCCGCGTGCCGCCGACTTCTCTCTTGCCCGCACAGTCAGATGACTCAGGCGCTGGGAAGAAGCAGCCAGGCCCGTTCCCAAACACCCCAACACCCCAGTTTCCTGCACTCAGCACTAAAACGACCCCTGGTGACTGCCACAGCCGGTGCCTTTCTCCGCTTCCCCACAGGCAAAGCAGGCGTGGGAGCCCCTGGCAGTGCGGGCGAGGCCCTGGAGAGGGGCTGCGAGGAGCTGGCCAAAGAGGTGAGCCCCTGCCCCTCCCCCACCCCGTCTCTCCCCCCCAAGCTCCCAGGCCATCCTGGGGGTGGGTGGGGCTGGGGGTGGCAGACAACCTTCGGGGGTCTGAGGGGAAGCTGTGAGCCACACCAGCTCGCAGTGGTGAGCCTGTGGGTGGCCACGGAGGGGTGACCCTTGGCTCTGTGGGAGGTGGGCCCGGCTGACCTGTCTCCTGGGAATAAGGGTCAGTGATCTCCTGGGACCCCGTGTGACCACCTCTCTCCTCTCTCTCCCTCTCCCAGCCTTGTGTGGATGATTACATGGGGGTCCTCAAGCGGAGCCCCTCCCCGCCGGTGGCGTGCCGGGGTCAGCCACTCCCGGACTGGTGGTCACAGCAGCCGGCCGCAGGTGAGGGCACCTAGGGGTGCGGGATTGGATGGGGTGGGGGGCAGTGACTCCTGGGGCCTGCAACTCCAACCAGCAGGGACAGCCAGGAGCCACAGCTGTCCAGAGCTGGGGTGGGGGTCTGGGCAGGAGTCACTGGGACGGGGCCCCATCGGCCACCGAGTCCAGCGGAGTGCACCCCGCGGGGCCGGCTGGGGTCACCTTTGCTCTTTGGTGTTTTGCTTTGGGCCACGCCTGGCGGTGCTCACAGCCAACTCCTGCTCCTGTGCTCAGGGTCATTCCTGGCCCTGCTCCGGGGCCCCTTGTTGGCATCGGGATGGAACCCTGGTCGGCAGTCCGCCAGGCAAATGCCTTCACCCCGTCCCAGTCTCCGGCCTTGTGGTCCTGGCTCTGTCAACCCGCAGGCCTCCCTCCCCCCACCCGAGCCCAGGGACCCTGCCCAGGGACAGCCCTGCCTTGGGCCTCCTGTCACGCACTTGGCCCTTCCCTACAGGCTTACCGCTGATGCCTGGGTACGCGGCCTATGAAGGGCACCACACAGGTAAGGGCTGGGCCGGTGAGCCTGTGGGCTTTCAGGGGCCCGTAGACCAGGGGCATCTGGTGTCAGAGTTGGGCCCCGACTCCTCCTCCCTTGTGGTCAGCCTGTTGGAGCCTCGCCTCAGATGACCCCCACAGAGAGGCCCACAGAGAGACCCCCACTCCTCACCCCGGGTGGCCGTGCAAATACCCACAGTGGGGCCCAGACCCGGCTGGAGTGTGGTTGCCTGTGGATGTCCCTGGCGCTGGCGTCTCTTCATCCCACACCTGAGTTACAGCTGTGACAAAGGGGATGATGGTGATAGTGGTGGTGGTGGTGAGGAGATGAGGCAGGCAAGGGCATTTGGGCAGAGGGGCCTCTGGGCCATGCTGTATTTCTGAGGACACAAGCTGGGTCCTGCTGTGGCCCCTGAGTTTATCTTCCCCATAAGCTGCTGATCAGCCGTGGTGTGATGATGTGGGCTGGAGGCATTAGGGCTGAGGTGGGGGATCCTGAGAGAGGGCCGAGTGAGCAAGGGTTTGGGGTGCTCTGCCAAGACCACCCAGCTAGGAAGTGGGGTGCCATGGGGTATAGCTGCCAGCCTGTTTGGAGACCCCTCACCTGTGCCGCTGTACCCCAGACTGTCGGGGCTCGTGAGAAGGTCCTTTGAACTGGTGCTTGCCGGTGCCTAGGTCTGCTGGTGGTGCCTTCTGGGGGTCTCTCCAGGGGCAGAGGGGGAGCAGCTGCTGCTGGCCAAGCTGAGGGCCCTGGCAGCCTCCGTGTCCTGCTCACAGCCGATGTCGGGGTCCACCTTCTCCCTGGATGAGGCCAGGATGCGTGAGTGGGTGGGAGGCACCTGGCCCGCTGATCACAAGTGCTGGACCCCAATGCCGCCAATTGTTCTAGTTTGGAGCCATGCCTGGGGGCACCCCAGGGCTGATCCTGCCCTGGGACCTGGGGGGGGGGTCTGTGGCAGCGCTGGGGGAGCTGAGGCCTCCGGCCACTCCCTGGCCCAGCCCGTTTTCCAGAGAAGCGGGAGTCTGGGTTCTCTTGTGGGAACTTCCTGTTCAGATGCTGGCATGGGCTGGCACCCAGCTGACCCCTGCAGATCCAAGTGTGGGGCCTGGCGGATCCGAGTGTGCCCGGCCTCTCTGCACACTGACACACGCAGTGGGGTCTGGTGTCTGGAAGCCGCTGACCCTTGGGGTCCCTGCCTCAGTTTCTCTGCTGAGAAACGGCTGTGGGTAGCGATAGTCCTTTCATTTCCAGGCCACGCTCCCTCCCCGGGCCTGGCCAGCCCAAGAGCACCTCGTCCTCCTGCCCAGTCTCCCCGCTCCTGGGCCCAGGGGCCCATCGTCACAGCCCGCTCTGTCGGCCGTCGGCCGTCCCTGTTTGTTCTCTTGGTTTATATATTCTGTTTGTTCTTGGCCCACGCCCAGTGGTGCTCAGGGCTTGCTCCCGGCTCTGTGCTCAGGAGTCACTCCTGGCAGGGGTCAGGGGATGTCTGTGGTGCCAGGATCAAAGCTAGGTTGGCCCTGGGCAGGGCAGCTCCGTGCCCACTCTGCCCTGCTCTGGGGCACAGGCAGCGGGAACACGAGCTCCCGGCAGAGCCTCGAAGCGTCCCGTGGGCGAGCAGGTCCCTGTGTCTGTCTGCCCTGTGGCCCCACAGGCTGTGCTCTCGGGAGCAGGGGGGGGGGGGGTGGCAGGGAGCTGCTTCTCCTCCGGGCTCTCCCCTCCCCTACATAGTCACCTCCGGCAATTCCAACCTGGCGGAGTCACTGCCACCCTGCAGCCCTGGGATCCCTGTCCCCCCCACCTGCCTGTGCCCACGGGGACCCCAGTGCACGCCCTCTGTGGAGCCCATCCACACGCCACCGGGCACGGGTACAGATAAGGCAAAGGGACAGTGGCCGCGGGGCCGGGGGCCATCCTCTTGTGGAGCAAAGTTCAGAGCTCAGCCGGCACAGGAAGTGGATAGTGTTGAGTCATCAGATGTCCCTGGCATGCCCGCAGGGGCAGGGGCGGGCAGGGGCAGGGGCCGGAGTGCCAGCAGCTGGCACTACATCTCACAGGTGGGAGGACCTCGTGGGCCTCAGTTTCCCCAAATGTCAGATAAGGGAGCTGAACTGGAGCCCGCCTGCTCGAATATCGGTTAGTGACATGCAGACACTAACCGGAGCCGAGGGTCTGCGCTGACCCAACCAGGGTTTCTTGCCCGGGAGTTCTCAGGCTCTGTGGATGGAGGCGCGGGGCAGCCTCGGGCCCAAACAACCAGCACCCTGCAAATGTCGGCCAGCCCCGCCCCCGAGGCCCAAATGCAGGTTCCTTTGGGACTTCCTGAGTCTGGCCATGCCGGCACTCCCGGTCGCCAGCCCCACACTTTGGTCCTGGGATGACACAGCCCCACCTTTGCCGTCGCTGTGAGATCTGGGCACCGCCGGGGCTGTTACTGACCTCTGTTATTCTCCAAATTCCATTTGAAACGTCAGGTTTATTTATTTTTTATTTTTCATTTTATTTTTTTGCTTTTTGGGTCACACCTGGCAATGCACAGAGGTTACTCCTGGCTCTGCACTCAGGAGTTACTCCTGGTGGTGCTCAGGGGACCCTATGGGATGCTGGGAATAGAACCCGGGTCGGCCGCGTGCAAGGCAAACGCCCTCCCCGCTGTGCTATCTCTTCAGCCCCACGTCAGGTTTATTTTAAACCGAGACTATCTCCCCTGTGAGAATGACGTGCGGTTTAAGTCAGAATTGGCCGCCAAAGCGAAGTCCCGGGAAAGCCTGGACAAGGTGTTGAAATCGGAGGTCCTGGGACCCTGCTGAGGCTGACGGCCCCTTCCTGCCCTCTGAGGAGGTGGTCAGGTTGGGTGTGTGAGGAGTGTGCTGGGAACCCGGCCTCTGTCCTGTCTGCCCGCCATCCCTGAATCGCGCTGGTTCAGACTTTTCCGGATGAAGTGCTTTCGGGGAGATTGTTCAGAGTTGTCCAGGATTGGGGGAGTTGGGGGATGGGGGATGACGGCGTCTTTGTTTCCATCAATCTGGAGTCAAAGTCGATTTAACCACGCCTGTCAATAAGGGTAACTTGCTATGGCTACACTGTAGCGCTGTGCTGGGCTACAGCCCTGCCCCGGATACACTGTAACACTGCCCAGGTGGTTAGGGCCCAGCTTAGAGACAGTTTGTTAAATCTCCCGGTTCCTGGGGCCCTCTGTGCCTTGTCGTTTCCTGCTGGAGCCCAGAGTCCTTCCTCTGTCTGGAGGCTGCGGGTCCCTTGGCCGCCTGTGTATTTTTTCCTGTGTTCAATACAGTTTCCAAACAGGACCACGCACTTCTCCCCGAGTGTCCAAGAGGTCCCAGGCGCGTGGTGGGAGAGAGAAGGGAGAGAGAAGGGCCCCTGGGCCACGACCAGGATAGGAGACACCCCCACCCTGCAGCCCCCTGACCGCCCTCTCCTCCCACAGTCTTCTCGCAGATGGTCATCAAGTTTTTCTACGGGGGCAAGTTGGTGGGCCAGACCACCACCACCTGCCCCGAGGGGTGCCGCCTCTCGCTGGGCCAGCCGGGCCTGCTGGGCACCAGGCTGTACGGGCCGGAGGGCCTGGAGCTGGTGCGCTTCCCGCCGGCCGACAGCATCGCCAGCGAGCGGCAGCGGCAGGTGACCCGGAAGCTGTTCGGGCACCTGGAGCGGGGCGTGCTGCTGCATAGCGGGCGGCAGGGCGTGCTGGTCAGGCGGCAGTGCCAGGGCCGCGTCTTCTGCAGTGGCAACGCCGTGCCCTGGACGGACCGTCCCAACAAGCTGGAGCGCGAGGAGGTGGTCAAGGTCTTCGACACCAGCCAGTTCTTCCGAGGTCTGTGCCCGCCAGCCCTGCCCCCAGCCCTGCCCCTGCCCCCGCCGGGCCCCTCCCCTCCTGTCCCCGTTTCAGGGTCCTGGATCTCCTTAATGCCGCCCCCCTTGGCTTCTCCTCCCGCATCTCGAGCTCCGTGCCTCGACTTCCCCGCCTGCACTCTGGGGGCGGGGGGAGGACGAGGGCTCGGCGTGTCCGGCAGCTCCCAGAGGCGGGGAGGCTGGGAACGGAGCCTCTGGGCCGACCCCTGGGAAGCGGCCGGGCCTGGGCCCCCCAGTCTGTGCCCCCGGGGGGCGCTCTGAGCCCGCTGAGCCCCCCCCCCCCCCCCCCCCCCCCCCGTGCCCGCAGACCTGCAGCTGTTCTACAGCGGCCAGAGCCGCCTGCCCGACAGCCGCGTGGTGCTGTGCTTCGGGGAGGAGTTCCCGGACGCCGCCCCGCTGCGCTCCAAGCTCATCCTCGTGCAGGTGAGGGCCCGGGGCCCGGGGGCGGGGGGCGCGCTCCCAGCCTGGGTCCCCGCTTTTGTCTGTGTTGGGCTTTCTTCTGTCCGGGGGTCTCGGAGAGGCGCGTGGTGGGGAGGAGCGGGGGCTCCAGCATGGCAGGCTGGACCCCGGGCCCAGGGCTGCGCCGGCTCTGGCTGTCACCGGGTTCTGGAGCAGGATCCGGGCGGGACTGTCGAGGGCGTCCCGTGCCCCCTGCCTGCCGCCCACTGCCCACTGCCCGCTGCCCGCCTACAGGTCGAGCAGCTGTACGCACAGCAGCTGCTGGAGGAGGCCCGGAAGAGCTGCGGGGCCGGGAGCCTGGCGCCGCCCGAGGAGTCCCCGGCCGACCCGGTCCTCCGGCTCTTCCCCGACCCGTGCACGGCCCACCAGCGGCCCTTCTTCAGGGAGAACCAGCAGATCACCGTCTGATCGCCGGCCCGGCTGCTCCCTCTCTTCCGGCGCCGTGGGAATTCCCAGGGGTGTGGGTGCTCCCGGCCCCCCCGTCCCCCGCCGGGCCTGAGAGCGTGTGGGGACTTGCCGATGGAGGGCAGAGCGGCTGTGGTCTTCGTGGGCCGCCGGGCCTGGCCGCGTCCCCTCCCCAGAGACGTTTCTCCCCTGCCTCGCGCTTCTCCTTTGCTGCTGGCCTTCTGCCGGCGCCGTGGGACTCCGCCGGGGGCAGGAAGACGGGGCTGTTGTTACCTGGCGGCCAAGTGGGACCCCCTGTTGAATAAACGCTTCCCAGCTCGCGGCCTCCACTGGTGCTTTGGTCTGTCGCGGCCGTATCCCGTCACTCCCCTGAGAGGAGCATCGGGCCCCATCAGCCACTGAGGAAGGAGCCGGCGGTGGGACTCAGGGCTGTTGCCCACCCGCAGCAGCAGGGGGAAACCAGGCGGCGGGGCGGGGGAGGGTGTCTGATCCTCCGTTTACTGCAGCACTGTTCACAGGAGCCAGAATCTGGAAACAACCCAACTGCCCGAGAACAGACGACTGGTTAAAGAAACTTTGGTACATCTACACAATGGAATACAATGCAGCTATTAGGAAGATGAAATCAAGGAATTTATTTATAAGTGGATGTAAATGGAGAATGTCATGCTAAGTGAAGTTAGTCAGAAAGAGCGGGACAGACACAGAATGACTCCACTCATTTGTGGAATATAAAATAACATAATATGAGGCTAACACCCAAGGACAGCAGAGACACGGACCAGGAGGACTGCCCTGCAGTTTGGAATCCTGCCTCATGTGCTGAGAGAAAAGGCAGCTGGGATAGAGAAAGGACTACTAGAGTTTGGGGCTCAGGAGAGGGTGGGGTACAGCTGTGGGGGAGGAGACTGGCATGGAGGCTGCAGTTAGAAGCTGCTAGAAGGTTCCGTAGGAGCCCTGGCAGGTGGGCAGCTGTGAGGGTGGTGTGTCTGCCCACAGGACGTGGCCACTTGGCGGGCAGCAGGTGCTGGTGGTCCTGGGTTGTGTCCAGTTTCCTCGGGCTGCCACTGAACCCCCAGGATGAAGGGGTCCTTGGAGTCTGGCCAGCCCTGGTTGGGGCGGGGTGTGGGAAACATCTGACTACACAGCTTGCCCTCGTCTACACGGCAGTGTGGATCCCCTCCGGCTTCGGGCCAGGCCTGGGTTCCCTGTCACTGGCTCACGGGAGGAGACCGAGGCCGGCCTCAGACCAGCTGCTGCAGACTTTGATGGGGGCGGGCATGCGCACGTCGGGCTCACAGCCCCGGGGACAGGCAGAGCCGGGGTCACTGATCTTCCTAGAGACCCTTGCGGTGACACAGGGAGCCAGGCGGCGCTGCAGGGTCCTGTTTGTAAATAAGCCGCATCTGCCACCGGAAGTGACTGCGGTGGCTCCTCTGAGTTCCAAGGCTGCCCCTTGCGTCAGGCTGGAAGCCAGGGGGAGCAGGGGCTTCTGCAAAGCGGTGTGGGCGCCCCCATGAGAGCTGACTTAGGACATAAGGCCCCCACCCAACCAAGACTCTGGCCCCAGAGGGAAGCTGGTGGGATCTGACTCACGGAACATTCAGGAAGTCGTCAGCCTTTCTTTTTCTTTTTTTTTTTTGTCTTTTTGGGTCACACCCGGCGATGCACAGGGGTCACTCCTGGTTCATGCACTCAGGCATTACTCCTGGCGGTGCTCAGGGGACCATATGGGATGCTGGGAATCGAACCTGGGTCGGCCGCATGCAAGGCAAACGCCCTACCCACTTTGCTATCTCTCCAGCCCCAAATCTCAAATCTGCTTTTTTTTTTCTTTTTGGGTCACACCCGGCGATGCACAGGGGTCACTCCTGGTTCATGCACTCAAGGCATCACTCCTGGCGGTGCTCAGGGGACCATATGGGATGCTGGGAATCGAACCCGGGTCAGCCGCATGCAAGGCAAACACCCTCCCCTCTGTGCTATCACTCCAGCCCCGCCTTTGGCCATCTTTGGAAACATGTTCAGACCTTGGTGGTGGGATTGGTTGGAACATCGAACACCTAAAGCAACTGTATTGTGAGCAACTTTGAAAATCAAAGTGTCTGAAGTTTCAAACGTTAAAAAAAAAAATTCTGGAGGTAAATGGAGATAGTCCAGCGGGGTTGGGCGCTCGCCTCGCACACGGCCTACCAGGCTCCACCCCGCGGCCCACAGGTTCCCTGGAGCACCTCAGGGTGTGGCCTCGAAGCCCCCAAGTCACGGCTCCAAATATTCACAGATGTGAAGACAGTGCAGCCCCTGCTCCCGAGCGCGTGCGTGGGGGTGAGCTCACTCCGGCAAGGCCGCCCAGCACGCAACCTATTCGTCTTCTGCCGTGTCCAGCTGGCCCGAGAGGCCCCCCGGCATAAACATCCGCAGGATCTGCTGAGCCCTCTTCGCCGCGGCCCCGCAGCCCTCTCCGCTGTGGGGGCAGGAGGAGACGGATTCTTCCAGTGGGTCTGTTGTGCTAGGGACGGTTGCCGTTTGGCAATGTTCTGCGGCTCACCGCGCCGGGCGTGGGGGAGGCATTTCTCCCGGCAGCAGTGACCATCCCCCCACCCCCCCTCGTGGGAGACGCTGGTTCTGAGTCCCGGGGCTGATTTCCAGGTCTGCTGCTCTGACTTCTGGCCTGGACACATCTGCCCGGTTGGAGCGGCTAAACATGTCCAGCCTCTGACCCTCCCAGCTGTCTCAAAGCGTTTCATTTTGCCATGGGCCCTGCGGGTCGGCGTTTACATGGTGTGATGCGGTTTTTCTCTGTTCTCTGATGTCTGAGGGTGTAGCTGTGAGCGGCAGGAGGTGAGGTGTGGACGTGGGGAGGGGGACAGTCATCAGGGGCTCTGCCCAGAGTCACCTGTGTCTGGGGAGCAGGACAGTTGGGCTGTGGACTGCCGGGCTTCCTCAGGACGATGGCCAGGCCACCAGGTCCCAGAGCCGCTGGACGGTGTCACAGCTCAGCCTCCAATGGCCGGTGGAAACTTGTGTCCAGCCTGGTCAGGCTGGCCTCACTCAGATGCCCATATCCGGGGATCTACTTTGGCAGTTGAAAGACAGCCCCGCCAGGAGTGACCCCCGAGCACCGTGGGGGGAGGCTCAAACCAAAATACTTCTCAGAAACATCTGGTTTATTTGTGCCATAACTTGGGGCCGGACCCGGTGGGGCTGGGGGTTCCCGGGACTCCTGTGTGCAGAGCCCGAGCACTGCGCCCTGTCCTCGCAGTGAAACTAGTCACCGGTGCTCGTGAGGGCTCTGGCGTGCATGGTGGCCCAGCGTGTGTTCACGTAAAGGCTCTGCCCCTCCCGACATGCCCCAAGGAAATGCAGGAATAGTAACTAGCAATGCAGTGAGCCCTCACATGGCCCGGGGACCCGTTCTGATGGGGACTCAGTGTCATTCTCGGGATCCAGTAGAATGACCTAAGGCCTCTTCATCACGTGCTCACTGCATCGCTAGTGAATGACTTGTTTTCCCTCCTCCACTCCCTTTTTGGGACGGGCTGGTCCCTGCTCTCAGGGCAGTGTAGAGGGAACTGCTTTCCAAAGGAAGGAGCCAGGGAGCTCCGAGCGGGGTGGGGGCCGAGCCCAGCTGGGTCCTGGGGTGCAGGATGAAGCCACGAAGGGTCCTGCCCAATGAAGCCACGAAGGGTCCTGCTCCTGGCGCCACTCCGCAGGTGCGGGTAGCTGGGGTCACTCCTTCCCAGGACAGACTTGTGGGGGCTCAGTGGAGCCCCTCATGCAGCTGTGTCCTGGCCACGAGAGAGTCCGAAGGCCAAGCTCCGGCTCCTGGCTTTGGGGACCATGCACAGGGGTCCGGGAAGGACAGACGGCATTTCCCTTCCTGCCCCGGCCGCAGGCTTGTGCAGTCGGGCTGGAAGGAGCCCCACGGCCCCAACCCTCACCCAGGCACGGCTTGTTGGTGGCTGGAAGGTTATGGCGCTGCCGTGAGCATGGGGCAAGGCGGGCACCGTGCCCCTTCCTCCCTCCCCTCCCCCTCTTCCCCTCACTTCCTTCCCCCCTGCTCCTCTGCGGGACCCCCTCAGGCCACATCTTCCCTGGTGGGCACTGTTCTGATTTCTGGTGCAGGTGAGGAGGGGGTCACAGGTGGGGGAGATGGACCCCTTTTTTAAAATTAATTAATTAATTTTTTTATTAGTGAGACACCATGAGGTACAGTTGTAGACTTAGAGATTTTTTGTGCTTGGGTTTCAGTTATACAGTGCTCAAATACCCATCCCTCCACCAGCGCCCATCCTCCACCACCACGGGTCCCAGCATCCCTCCCACCCCCCATCCCCCCATCCCACCCTGCCTCTGTGGCAGGGCATTCCCCCTTGTTCTCTCTCTCTTCTTTTGGGTCCTGTGGTTTGCAAGAGCGACATTGAGTGGCAATCATGTTCGGTCTATAGTCTACTTTCAGCATGCTTCTCCCACCCTGGGAGGGTCCTCCCAACACCCTTTATTTATGGACCCCTTTCTTATGGACTCCAGCGAGGACCTCCTCAAGCCAGGGCGCACCTGAGTCCCCACTGAGATAACAGGCATTGGATTAGCAGAAACAGGTTCCAGAAGCAGCTTGTTCACGTCCTCATCACCTACTGCCAACCCACGTCCCGCCTCCCGTCCCCCATATGTCCCTCATCCACCCACCATCCCTCCACCACCCACCACCCACCGCCCACCGCCCACCCACCGTCCACTCACGCCCATCCCGCGTCCTCCCTCTGTTCATCCACCGTCACCTCTACCCACCCCAAGGTCAGTGTTGTCCACTGTCTTTTCGGGGCTCAGTGGGGTGCTCTGGACCCGAGTGTCTGTGGGGACACCTGCCGTGGGTCGAGGTCGGAGCATCTCATTTACATTTTTTCACCCTTTTGGTCTCGGTTTTGCAGAGGAAACTTTTCTGGAAGTCCTAAAAAAAAACCAAGAAACCAAGAAGAACTACACAGGAAACTGAGTTTTGTG